ACTGTCTGACGCGTCTGCCTCCGCGACCCGAAAGGAGAAGCGGCGATGGAAGATGAAGATGAAGAAGAAGTTAATGAAATGAACAATAGTCTTACGCCTGATTGAATGGCATCGAAAATTTCGGTGTACGATTTCTCGCGATGGTAGTGATGCAGGACAGTATCGTACATGCTTCGCTCAATGTACTGCTTCACCTATAAATGAGCTGTGTAAAGCACTGACAAAAGAGTTAACCGTTAGACCTGTTCTTGGTGCGAATAAGCAAGAATACCACAGGTAAGTTCGGCGACGAATACGAGCACCAGTAATGCGAAAAACTATACACAATTTGTTAGCCGTTTTGTGACAGCGTAACTGGCAGATATAATTCACCGATATAAGCAAACACTTGGAGTTGCGCCAGGCACCGCAAAATCCCATGAAACCCAAAAGTGACATGAGCGCACCGACACCGACCAGGATGTAGACAGCAACGTAGAACTCGTGCAAATGCGAATCAAGCTTTATCATATGCTGTGCAACGTCCGTGTCGAACAAAAGCCATAGCGACACACCGAGTACACCCAAACCGGCAACCTGAAAATTAAACATTAAGTGAGCAACGTCAAACATTTAGTTTATAAAAATACCATGAGAAATTAGCTTTATATTATAACGGAAGCTTCTATTTGTTTTAAATTACAAAAGATTTCTATATTTTTACAAAAAATGCTGATGGCGATAGAAGGGTGAGCAAAGAACCGATAAAAACAAAATAAGAATTAAAAATGTCCGTTTTTTGTCATCTGTGTAACAAAGGGAAAAAGATGAAATTGCTAATTGGAAACAACGGAAGAAATCCCACTCTCCATCGTTCAGATCATTCATCTTTTAGACGAAATGCAGATATCTACCTTGCCCAAAATAATCATGCATGTCATGTTTATGAAGTTAAAATCATCGCAAACCGAAACTTCTATTGATCGATTGGTACATATAAAATGTGTAACCCTTTCTCTGTTCTGAAAGAGGGTGACATGAGATAAACAAGTTCGTGAAAGAGGATTTCCAAGATATTACAACCTATTAGTCAATATCTATAAAGCACTGTTTCATCAGATCTACAGTCCATCCTACTGAACTTGACGAGGGTTGCTCAATCGGCAAAGCGTCGTACATTGAACCGAGAGAGTACCCGTCGGGCAACTTAACTTCCTTCTATCAGAGGTTCATAAATGAGTAATAGTACGTGGGAAGGACTGTAGGGCATGAGACTACAACTACTCTTGCCAAATAGCATATATCTGCTCGGCGTTACTGGCTGATTGCATGGAAATGGAGATCGATGCACTACTATAAACTACATGAAAGGAAGGCGCCAGAAACGGTTCCATCATAAAACTGTATCGAAACTGACAGTTGGTACCTGTTTTTTTCTTTTCTTCCTTCCCAATTCATTTTGTACATAATCGTCAGCGACTGTTCAAATAGAAGATGGTATACGACAAACGAACAGTTTTCACTGCTTTCCTCAAAGATTAAATTGGACGATAGCCTCAAAGCCTTTAGTACGTTTAGCCACAGTATCCATATTTAAACAGAACTTATAATAGGACTTCGTTAACGGAATGGTTGTCTAAGAGATTCAGGAACAAGCATTCCACCGTACTGCGTCCCGTCTGTTATGCGATATGGTATTTTGGTCAAAATTCTCTTTGTGAAAGAGATGCAGAACAAAGATTACGGATAGGATGAAAGGTCACACGAATATACATACAACAGAATTTTAAACATCAACTTTAAAATTTAAATATTATGTAATCTTGTGTCGCCAAAATTACCTACCCAAAACAGAAAATTCAGGACGAACACAAACCATCGCAGACAACCGAGACATCGTTTAGAGAACATTCTTCCTGACGGGCGAAGAAAAGTGAATCAAGTCAATCAACGAATCAAAACAAATGACAGACGAAGTTAAACTTCAATTCTAAGAGTACAGCGATGAAAAATGCAACTCGCCAGAGACAGTAATTTTATTACCAAAAAAATGGAATGGATCAACGACCAGAAAAATAAAAGGTGAGATTTTGAACAAAGTATGAAACGAAGAAGAGGAAAAAAGAAGAATAAAAAACGACTGGGAAAAACAAGCAATACATAAAGAAGAAACGTCTGGAATCACGGTGAAGCGTAGACCTCGGTGCCTTTAACCTTGATTGACGTTACAGCGGAAGAACGACGACTGGGCAGCTGCGACCGGTAAAAATTCGTTACGACCGTCAAGGACGTACGTTGATTGTCAAATGTACCCTTCGGCAAGACGCATGTCATGCAGAGTTCAGTTTGAGCTCACGGTTTTCTCTTGAAAGTTCTGCTATTTCTTTGCCAAGCGTTTCCAGACTTTCCTAAGGCGCCA